CTGTGGGGTTCAGGATCCTCATACTCACTGCAGGGAAGGGGCCACTTGACCCTGAGATTCTCTGAAAAAGCCAAGCCACCTCCTGGCCCTGATGGGGAGACACATCCCAGGCAAAGTGGGCAAGCCCATGAAGGTGTTTCCACTGTGTAGGGGTTAGGCAGAGGCTCTTCCTGATGTGGCTGATCAGGAAGAGGTGAGATGTGAAGGCCTCTGGGGTTGGCATCTTTGGCATCTTTGGAGTCATTGGACCAGCTCACAGTTACCTGCCATCTGAGACCTGGCTCCACTAAAAAAGGGTTGACCTACAGACCGGTTTGAATCTATTCCTGTTGTGTTGGGAAGAACCTCGAGGACAGCACTGACTGCACTTCCACAGTCTGCTGGCCACTGGGAGTAAGCTGCTGGGCTTCAATGATTCAGTCTGAATGAAGAATTATCCAAAACTTGAAAGTGAGACCAACAAGGTGATTGACTAACCTTTTAATGTGATGCCAGAGCACCATGTAATGAGCCCACCTAAGTGTCATCGACACCCTAAGAGAATGTCACCTTCTGTGAATTATTAATTCATTAGGACTCAGCTTCTACAAAGTTGGATGGTATTCAATACAAAACTGGTAAGACACAGATGACCTTGTTCACAGGCAAAGTTTTGCTTGTATTGTCCTGTACGATCTAATTTAGTGATTTTATTTCAGGAATTTATTTATGTATCTATACCTATCATTTGCATAGAATGCAGAAATTATTGAACAATATCATTAATATCACATGCAAGCAAAAGTTTGCTAAAGATAATTCAAAAACGGTTGTAGGAGTACATCGATAGGGAACTACCAGAAATTCAAGCCAGATTCAGAAGAGGACGTGGAACCAGGGATATCATTGTTGATGTGGGATGGATCTTGGCTGAAAGATCCTTTTACTGAAAGGTGTTGACCTGTGTTTTATTGACTATGTAAAGGCATTCAACTGTGTAGATCATAAAAAGTTATGCATAATATTGTGAAGAGTGGGGATTCCAGTGCACTGAATAGTGTTCATGAGGAATCTATACATAAACCAAGAGGTAGTCATTCGAACAGAACAAACTGATGCTGCATGATGTAAAATCAGGGAAGGTGTGTGTCAGGGTTGTATCTCTTCACCACACTGATTAATCTGTATGCTGAGCACATAATCTGAGAAGCTGGACTATATGATGAAGAACACAGCAGCAGGACTGGAGAAAGACTCATTAACAACCTGCCATATGCAGACGACACAACTTTGCTTGCTGAAAGTGAAGATGACTTGAAGCATTTATGATGAAATTAAAGACTACAGGCTTCAGTATGGATTACACCTTAACATAAAGAAAACAAAAATCTTCACAACAGAACCAGTAAGCAACATCATGATACACAACTGCCATCGAGTCAGATCCGACTCATAGTGACCCCTCCTTGGGTTTCCGAGGCAGTATCACTACAGAAGTAGATTGCCCAACCTTCCTTCCAAGGAGTGGCTGGTGGGTTACTAAACATCATGACAGATGGAGATAAGATTGGAGTTATCAGGAATTTCATTTTACTTGGATTCACAGTCAATGCCCATGGAAGCAGCAGTCAAGAAATAACCAACATGTTGCATTAAGGAAATCTGCTGCAAAAAAACTCTTGAGAGTGTTAAAGAGCAAAGATGTCACTTGGAAGACCAAGGTGCACCTGACCCAAACTATGGTATTTTCAATAACCTCGTGCACAATGAATAAGGAAGACCACAGAAGAATTGATGCATTTGAATTGTGGTGTTGGTAAAGAATGTACCATGGATTACTAGAAGAACAAATAGATCTGTCTTGCAGGAAGTATAACCAGAAGGCTCCTTTGAAGCAAGAATAGCCAGACTTCATCTCATTTTGGTCTACTTTGGTCATATTGTCAGAAGGGACCAGTTCTAGAGAAGGATATCACAGTAGGTAAAGTAGAGGGTTGGCAAAAACGAGGCAGACATTCAACAAGAGGGACTGACACAGTTGCTGTGACAACGGACTCAAGCGTGGCAATAATTATAAGGATGGCGCAGGACTGGGCAGTGTTTCATTCTGTTGTAAACAGGGTTGCCATGAGACAGAACCAATTATATGGCACCTAACAACAACAACATACCTATTTCTAGCTACCTATGTCTGTCTTTCTACCTACCTACCTATCTATATCTACCTATGTTTATCTATCAATCAATCAATTTTTCAAACATGTGGTAAAAGATTAACCTTACCTAAAAGAGGTCTGGCTTTTGCCCTCAGCTCATGAGAGGTAATCTCTAAGCCCTTGGAGTGTTTTGATGGATAAGAATGTCTTTGTTTATTGGGGGCCTTGGGCCACACCAGGTAGAATCTGCTAGCAATGTAATTTATGGTGGGCATTTTGGTATCACTTCAACCTCTGGATGGGAGACCTGAGATCAGCCTCACAAGCAGTAAATCATGTTGAGATGACTGAGCCCCAATAAACTCTGACTTGGATGAACTTTCTTGGTTGGCAATGCTCCATGCGTGTTTTCATAGTTTGCTGCTGGAGAAGTTAATGCTGACCATGGCTCCATTGGAGAGGACAACTGGAAGTTCTGTGCTTGGAACTCTCCGGGGCTCTATCCCATGTGCTTCTTCCCCTGACTGATTTTAACCTGTAGCCTTTCACTGTAATAAACTGTAACCATGAGTGCAGTACTTTCAGTGAGTTCTCTGAGTCCTTCTAGGAAATTATCGAATTTGAGGATGGTCTTAGGGACCTCAAAATTTGCAACTGGTGTCAGAAGTAGGATAATCCTAGGGACTATCAAACTGTGTAGATGTATATGTGTGTGAGAGTGTGTGTACACATCAGTTCATTGCATCTTCTTTTAAATCAGCTTTGTCATTCTGCTGGATCCCATATTAAATGAATTAAATAAAATACATGTTCACTATCTACTTTTAAGAGAATTAGGACTTGAACATTTTGAGCCTTATACTTCATGCATTAATTCATTCATTTATTCAAAAAAGAGACTATCAAGAAACATGAAAAACATATGTTCAAGCACTACAGTGGTATATGGGAGAGAGAGGAAGGAGCCCTAGTTGAGGCCAGGCCCAGTTACTCTTAGAAGAACCAGACGGGGTAGTAAGAGGCTGTTGGAGAAGGCAAACATGTAGAATGTGGCAATGATGGGAGGGCGGGTGGAGTTCCGAGGGCTGTAGGAGGGTGAGAAGGGCCCGGAAGCTCTCCTAATGCTGAGGAAAGGCTTCTAGAGATGAGGCCAAGATGACAGCCTGAGAAGGGCCACCCAGTACATCACTGGTAAATTCCAACGTTACTCCTTTCACTCTTGATCATTGGCAAACACTCAATCCATTATTTATGGGTCAATCATCACTTCCTTCGCAGAATCTAGACAACAGGTCTGCTCCCCACAATCAAGGCACTAACAGGAAAAGCAGGTTCAAATCCTGTGGCTTTGAGAGTCCCAGACCTCAGTGAGGGGCCTGGTGTGAGGAATGGTCGCTCACACATAAAGTCCATTGGATGCCACCAAACACACCTCCGCCTGGGGGAGCCTGGCCCCTCATATCCCCCACCCTGTTCCCTCTGCTCTTCTCCAAAAAGAGCCCACGTTGGCCCTGTGCCTTCATCAAGCGTGGCCTGGCCCCCAAGGCTGCCCTCCCCCTCCCAGTATTTGGCACCTTGTAAAACAGGAAAGGCCACATCTGTGTTGTCCCTTTTATAACTCCACCCCTTCTGTCAGCAATGTCTCATCTCACAGGCCCATTGACGTATCATCATTGTTTTTATTGCCATTTCTGTTGTTATTATTTTATTGTTTATAATCCAAAGAGGATTTTATGTAGCTTACAATATTATCAAACCAAACTCACTGCCGTTGAGTTAGATCCAACTCATAGCTACCCCTCCTTGGGTTTCCGAGGCAGTATCACTACAGAAGTAGATTGCTCAACCTTCCTTCCGAGGAGTGGCTGGTGGGTTTGAACCGCCAGCCTTCTGGTTAGAGTCAAATGCTTTAGGCACTATGCCACCAGAGCCGAGGAAACCCTAGGGAGCCATTCTACTCCATCATATATGAGGTCATTATGAGTTGAAAACTGACTCAATGGCACCCAGCCACAACCACAGATATATAATAAGATGACAAAACAATGAGTTAGGTAATAAAAAAAAAGATAAGAGAGAATAATTTTTTCCAGAAAGTCAAAGGTTGAAGAGAGTTACTGTTTGTGAACCCAAAATGACCTCTCAGCTTCGAGACAGACCAGTTTTCGTGGGGAACAAGGTCAGCTGCAAATCTGTTCCTTAGGCAGGACCCAGGGACAGTCCTCTCTTCCAGCGTTGCCCTGGCTGTGAGCACCATGGGGGTTCACTCTGCGGGCATCTGCGACCTCCACCTGACTGCTGCAGTCTGGCCCCACCGGGCCCTGGAGCCCATCCTCCCATCCCTTCACTGGGCACCGGCAGGGCAGAGGGCAGGGCACAGCTGAGCGAGGCCTGTCCGCTGCTGCCCACCTGGTCTCCCGGCCACCTGTCTCATTCTACAGAAGATGCAGCTTCGACACTGGCAGACCACCTCCATCGGCTCAGAGTCCAAATGTCTGACTCTGCCTGCCCCAGTTCCTGGGTGAATCTTAGCCAGAGAGGAAGAACCAGGCTGTAAATCAAAGCCCCACCCCGGCCAGTGTTCAGGATGCTGCTGACACCCATCGTGAACCGGGTGAGTGTGTACGGCTCAGAACAGCGACCCAGCGTCAGTGCCCATGTGACCCAGCTTCCCCACAGTGTAGCCAGTCCAGAACAAATGGCTGGAAGTTGGTTGAGAAAAGGGAAGAATTCAAAGCCATGGAGAACAACAGAGAGAAGGAGCTGTGTCTGCAGGGGGAGGAGGATCGAGGAAGAGACCAGACACATCCAGAGACTCCACAGCACAGGCACAGCCAGAGGCCTTCCCCACAGCCTTGGACTTACCCTCCTCACAGTTGCTCCCAGTGAACCCAGGGCAGCACCTCCACTCCAGTGCGGTCACCGTGCGGTAGGACACTCTGTATGTGGGTCTGATCAGAGTCCTGTAACTAACACAAAGACAGCATCAGTGGAAAATGACCTCTTCCTTGCTCGCCCCCAGACCTGGCCCGATGCCTGTAAAGACCGCCCACGTCGATGGGGCAGGCTGCTCTGTCCAGTCCAAGGGGCTCTGGGCTCAATGGCTGTGTGGCCCTGGGCAAGTCACTCCCCTTCTCTGTGTCAAGATTATTCTGAAATCTCTAAGTGTGGCCTCCTACGTCCTGTACACTGAGCAACATTGTTGTTAGTTGTCATTGAGTCCATTTCAAATCATGGTGACTCCATGGGTGCAGAATGGAACTGCTTCATGGGGTTTTCAATCAAGGCTGTGACCTTTCAGATGCCGATTGCCAGGCCTGTCTTCCATGGCACCTGAGTGGATTTGAACCACCAACCTTTCAGCTAGTAGTCAAACACTTAATTTATGCCACTAGGGATTTCTGACCAAGATAATAAATGAGGAAAATAAAATATCATTAGAGCCTACGCAACTTCCAACCACATTCAACCCTCCCCCTCATCGTTATTTCTTTTCATTGACTCATTCAATGAATACTTAACGAGCGCCAATTACCCGCTATACTGTGGTCACAGGCGGATGAAACTAAGTCTTCGCTCTCAAGAAAGTCACAGAGTAGAAGACAGGGACACTAACACAAAACATCACAATGCAGTAGAGGAACTATTGCCACAATAAATAGTGCCTGTAAAGTGCAGGGGACTCATGGTAAAACTTCACACTCTTAAAGTTCTGAAATATTTCCTACAAATAAGTTAGGATGCTACTTTGTGAAAGTCTAAAAATAGTGACTAGAAAATGTGTAACCTGAGTGAAATTAGCCAATCACAAAAGGGCAGATACTGTACGAGACCAAACCAACAAAACCAAACCACGACTGTAAAAAGTCAAGAACAGGTCTACACACAGAAAGAATTATTCTTTGAAGGTTACCAGGGGTGGGAGAGGAAGCGACTGCAAATCACTAACAAGTCACATAACTAATCACATACTAACTTGTATGAAAAAAATCCATAACTAAATTTCACAGAGGGGATAAATCGACCTGGGTTCTTCACTTTGCATACAATGTTAGAATTTTTTGCTGCTTGATCAAGTCTGTGCAATTTCCTCTTTCAAACAAAAGTACACAGCTCCCCAAAACTTAAATCTGCTGACATTGTGCAATTTAATCGGCAAATGGAAAAATTATGAATTAATGGGTAGCAGCGGGCATGACGTTTTGAGATGCATTGTTGACAGGAAAACCGCAAAACACTTCTTGAATTTCCAAAATCCTGCTCTAAACCTGAAAAATCCTGTTACATTAATTTCTCTTTAAAAAAAAATCCTCTCACTCATATTTCATAAACATCCCTGCAAACCAGTTCCCCCTGGAGAGGGCGTACGGCTGTGTGCACCCAGGGCAGGAACTAAAAGTGATTTGTGATTTTGGGAGAGGAGCCAGGAGACAGAGAGGTGCCCACAGCTGAGGCCTGGAAAGAAACCCAGGCCTTCAGATCCATGAATCCACCCAGGAAGCGACTGACATAGACCAATGGGGAGGGGGGAGGGGTGAAGGGTGACAGAGCTGCAGCATCACCACCACTCACAGCAAGTGGCCTAATGAGACACACACAGTAGGTGCAAGGAAGAGCAAACACACTCATACACACTCACAGACATATATTCACACACACACACACTCACATGTCATGGCTGTTTAACCGAATGCTAAAATGGGACTTGCCCCCCACAGCATTGCAGCAGAGGTCCAAAAGGCTGAGAACAATACCAAAGATGCCCAACATCTCCACAGCAAGAGGTTGGACCAGCCATGCGGGAGAGGCTGCAGTCTGTGAACAAGGTTTTACCAGCCATAGCTCATCACCACCTCTAAACCAAACCAAAGTCACTGTCGTCAAATCAATCCCAACTCATAGCGACCCCTCCTTGGGTTTCCGAGGTGGTATCTCTACCGAAGTAGATTGCCCACTCTTCCTTCCGAGGAGTGGCTGGTGGGTTTGAACCGCCAGCCTTCTGGTTAGCAGTCAAATGCCTTAGGCACTATGCCACCAGAGCTCCCTCACCACCTCCAGACTACATAAAAGACAGTGTTCACTGGAGGTTGCAAAGTCTTGAGTGAGAATTTCTTTAGAGAACTTCCATCCTCTAAAACTTGGAGGAGTGGAGGACAGGGTAAGATGTCCCCCATCCCAAGCTCAAGAGAACTTTGGAGAGACTATGACACAGTCCTTGGAGTTTGAAAGGCTCAGGGGAGGGACTCTGACTCTTGCTTGAAGGGGACAGACTGTGGCCGAGTGGGAGTGGCTGGCTCCCTTAGATCTGGGCAGTGCAGGGCAGGGTAGGGTATATATTTTATGTTGGCCAAATGTGGAACACCACCCCTAAAGGAAGCAGCACTTGGGAGTCTTCGCAGGGACTCTGACCAAGAGGGCCACCTGGAGGGGGAGCTGACCACCACAGCAAGGACTCCTGAGACACCAGAGGCCAAGGGAGAGATCACGAGTAAGCAGGTAGAAGGTCCTGCCTGAGTCAAGGGGCCTGCAAGGCAGAAATGCCCTGGAGGGGCATGCTCCAAGCCTGGGAGATCCTGGAATGGACCCACAAAAGTGCCAGCAATTCATATGAGCCGTATGTGGGGCTCCATTACCAGATTACAACAGTACCAGCCAAGGAAGACCTCACCTGCTCCTTGTCTTTCTTTGGGTCTCCTTCCATCCTGTTGCTGTTAGTTTCCATCAAGCCAGCTCCCACTCATGGAGACCTTATGTATAACAGAACCAAACGTCGCCTGTTCCTGTACCACTGGCATGATTGTTGGTGTGTCTGAGTCCAGGTGTAGAGACTGCATCAATTCATCCCACTGAGTGTGGTCGTTAAGTTGTGTGCCAACGTGGCTGGTCCTGGTTTTGAGTGGCTGGGTTGCAGTGATTCCCCAGGATGAGACTGGCCATCGACCCCACGGTGGACTCTGCCACAAGCAGCTGAGCAGTTGCGTTAGGGATGTGGTCTGCCTCCCGTATGTAAGCAGCAGCTTTGGGAATGGCTGCAGCTTTATGGCACATTTGGACCCTGCATGCAGCCAAGTCTTCATGTGACAGCCTGCCATGTTACCTGGTGATCTTGGGACTGTCTCTGGACTTGAACCAGTGGCCTGCCGTGTTGTTTGGTAATATTAGGATGGTGCCATTTTATTTGTCAGCCTCAGCAGCCAGCAGCTGCATGAGTGAAGAGACACCTCTAGCTCCAGTGGGCAGAGAGGCAGAGCTGAAGCCCAAGGCCAAGGGGCTTTCACCCAGCCCCTAGAGCATGGCACTTTGAACTTGGACTTTTACCCTCTAAAACTGAATAAACTCCTGTTTGTTAAAGCCACCTATTTGTGGGATTTTCTGTTCAAGCAGCATGAAGTAACCAAAACATCGAGGGTTCCCTTATTTTGGCCAACCCTCTACCTTACCAACCACAATGCCCTCTTCCAGCCATAGGTCTTTCCTGATAACCATCCAAAGCAAGCGAGCCGCAGTCCCACCATTGTCACTTTCAAGGAGCATTCTGGTTGGGTTTCTGGTTGGTTTGTCCGTCTGGCACACCACGGTTCAAATGCATCAATTCTCCTTCTGTCTTCCTTTCTCACTGTCCAGCTTTCACATGCATGGGAGGAGACTGAATAGTCCATGTTGTTGACTGCCCAGTTGTGAGCATTTTCATTTTCTTAAATCGAGGCGTGATGAGCTCTGATGGATACCAGCCACTCCTCAGAAGGAAGGTTGGGCAATCTACTTCCATAGTGATACCACCTCAGAAACCCAAGGAGTGTTTGCTATGAGTCGGATCCGACTCAACGGCAGTGAGTTCAGTTTTTTTTTTTGGAAGTTGAGGTGTAATCCATACCGAAAGGTTTGACCTTCATCAGTAAGTGCTTCAAGTCCTCTTCATTTTCAGCAAGAAAGGCGTCATCTGTGCCTCTGGCTGTTAATGAGTCTTCCTCCAATCCTGATGCTGTGTTCTTCTTCCTCAAGTCTACCTTGTCGGATTATTTGTTCAGCATATAGATTGAATAAATGAGGTGAAAGGATACAACCCTGTCACACACCTTTTCCAACTTTGAAACCCCTTCTTTCCTTTTTTTTTTTTTTTTTTTTATTAGGATTTGGGTGAAGATTTACAGAGTAAATTCACTTTTCATACAGCAGTTCACATATACTTTGTCTCATGTCATTGACCAAAATTTACAATGCAGCAGCTCCCCTCCCACTTCCTCCCCATAGTTACCTCCTCCCAGTGTCCATCCCTTCATACTCTTTTGCACCCTGAGCTATCTCCCTGTGCATAAGCAGCCCTTCCTTCTCCCATGATTGTTCTCTCCAGGAAACCCCTTCTTTCCTGAACCAAAAACAAAACAAAAATAAAAACAGCCCAAACCAGTCTTTGCAGAGTCAATTCTGACTTGTGGCGACTGGCAAGTGAAGAATGAGAAGTAAGAAAGAGAGAAGGGGCCCCCACCCCCTTCCTGCTACAGATCTCCCAGCCTGAAGCAAGCCCATCTGGGAGAAGGAAGAACTTTCATTTAAACTTTTTGTTAACAGCAATTTTAAAATTCAGTCTTGAAATAAAAGTGTGGTCTGGCTAAGAAAAGCTATGGAACCCATCAGACCCCACTTGTAGGGCAGGGGAGGGGCCGATATGCTTTCTGCTCGAGCCCTGCCCAGCACAGCTGATACCATAAACCTATCCCTCCCATAACCTCAGGACAACAGGGTACACGGAGGCTTGGGGAGCAGGGACACAGCCCCGGACTTCAGATTCATCCCTTATTCACTATGTGAACTTATACACATTACTTAGCGTCTCTGATCCCATTGCCTGGTCCAGATGACAAGGCTGCCATGATGACCAGGGATGCTGGGTGTGAGGCTTGCTGGGAGGGCGTGTGTGTGTGCAAAGGTTCCAAGAGCTGACTGGGACACTTGGGGGCTAGAT